GATAAAAAAGGACAAAAGATTATAATATAAAGACAGAAGATAATATATATATATCATGGCGACCACTTGTACTAAGACTAATGCGGCCGCCTGCAGCCTGCTACAAAGTACAAAATTTACAAGCAAAATTAGAGCGATATAAATAATCTTTGGATATCAAGCATATGTATCATCATCATCGTATATTAATTTTTATTTACATGTTAACTTTAAATATCATTTCATGTCTCAAATTATGCATGTATTTCTATGAGTTATTTTTTAAGTTAAGGTAATACTTTCTGCTATCATAGTTAATGAGATATAATCCAAATTTATTAAGGCACTCTTATTAATTATTTATAATAAAAATACATTTTTTTAAAACCAAATGAACTATATTTTTCTTTAATTCCGAAAATTAATGTAAATGTTTTTGTTTTAATATAAATTTATTCCATGATTCTATTCACTTGAATATTTCATATTTTAATTTCAAAGGATCATATTTAAAATTAAATCCAAAATCGTAATTTTTGACATCCTGAAGTTTTTTAACCTCTCCATATGTAATTGATCTCTAAATCCAACATTTTATTTTAATTTAAATGTACAACTTTTAAAATCATCTTTTCTAAAATCTTTTTATAAAAGTGTAAAGTTGATTTTGTAAGTGATCTCAAATGATGGATGACGGTCCCATCCTTCAAAACATGCAAATTTTCAAGGAGAAAATTATCTTCAGTTTCATATTTAAAATGAGAATACTAATAACGTGAAATTTACTGGCTTACTTTAATTTCGTGGCAGATATAGGACCAGCTTCTGCTTCATTCATATGGAATACCATAAATGAATACGTTGAAGTTTTGTTGTTTATAGTGTAGTTTTATGAATCAATACATTGTAATGGTGAAAGTGACCGGTTTATATCTAAAGTATTCGCTTCAGTGCCAAATGAACGATACATGCTTATAAAGTTTTAAAAAATAAATTATCAGATTTCTCATATATTTCAATATAAATAATTAAAAATAGACAGTGAAGAGTGAACAAATCCATCTACATACCCTACTGAGAAGGATGAGATGGAGTCCACGTGGGTCGATCATAGATGAGAAACTGTACAAACAAAGGCTATGGGTCTATGAGAGAGTTGGTGTGGCCAGTGAACTGAAATGGAAACCGACCCAGAATCTTAAACCAAGTTGTTTTCTTCCTTTTGCACGGTAAAAGTAATTATCTCAAGGAAATGCCGCTTGGATAATGTAGGGAAAATATAATGAATTTCTGCTATCAGTGAGTACAGATGAGAACATTAATGTGAAGACTATTCACCCATGTGGAAAAACTACTGTTTTCCATTTTACCTGAACAAAGCTGTCAATATCAACATAATGGTTTTTTCTTATCTCCAAAATTAACATCGATGCTATGTAGTCACTGTTTCACTTGTCGTCTTCACTGCATATATCGTGGTGGATCAAGCTTCGCCCCCTTCGTAGATTTGGCTGCCCAAGATTACCATCTCCACCACGTGATTCCTTCATGAGCCATGCAGCAACCTATGTTGCACGGGGACGGCAGGGGAAGGGCGTTTCAAGTACCCGAAGCATCCCTAGCATAGGGACGGTACGGGGAAGGCCGGGGTACGCACCGAGAACGTACCAAGAGGCAGGGTACGGTCGAACGATACGGGGACGTTTCGGTCCTCTGAAAATAGCTATTGACGGCTTAGTTGCAGTGATCTTTCACCGTGTCGGGGTTAAAGCAACCACCATTCTGGAGAATCGCAGAACAATCAGCTCCAGCTCCACGCGTAATCCAGTGTCTTCTGAAGCATTTGATCACCAACTTTTTAGGGTTTATTTATTTGATGAGAAATAAATATTAGATTATCAACAATTATTTTAAAACATATAAAATAAGGGTAAATTATAAATTTAATAAATGTATTTTACTCTATCTCATATTTAACTCATTAACGTATTATATTTAGTGATTTTTGTCATTCGACCATTAAATAGTTAACGGCGTTTAATATTTTTTTATACTTAATATTATAGTTTCAGTCTTAAAATTTGACACTTTAATATTATGATTTGATTATGAATTTTATTATTTTAGAGTTAATATCGTGGTTTGAATCTTGAGATTTGATATCTTAATATTGTGATTTGTTTATGGATTTTATTGTTCTAAACTTAATATTGTGGTTTGAGTCTTGATATTTGACTTTATTTATAATTTTTTACATCTATTTATAATTTTAAAATTATTTTATATGACTTACCCTTGCCGTCCCCGTACCCTGTAATTTTAGGAATTACCGTTCCCCGTATCCGTCCTCGTATCCGCGCAACATAGGCAGCAACATTAGCCCACCATGAATATAATTCCTACAGATCTTGGCTGAGGAGTTAATGGATCGAAAATACACAACAAATCACGCAGTTGTTGTTATGCCATATACTTAGCTCTTATAAACCCTAGCTGAGCTATGGTGGCTGTAGGGTTTCCCCTCTTTCTTTTTTTGGGGTTTATCATTAACATAGGGACAGCTTATGCAATAAATTTAAGGGTTTAGGGTTGAAATTATTGGTTGATCACCTACTTGCATAAATGGTGTGTATATATATGCATGGTAAGAGCTTAGATAATACGATTAGTTTACTACTATTAACGTATTACAGGCACGTTATGAAACGGGTATATGTGGATGGTGGAGTGGAGGAGAAAAAACCTTGGCGGCGGCGAGATATGTGGCTATTTAGAAGTATAAAAAGCTTGGAGATATGAAAGAGTACTAAGATATTGGCACGGCTCAATCAGACCAAGTAGAAAAAAATGGTTTTGAGAAAGTGATATGTTTTCCATGTCTGAGTGAACCAGGCCAATATCAAAGTCACTATTTCATTTCATTTAGGCCATAACGTGCAGTTAGTCCACACTACAAAATCCCCTAAAGAAACAGTAATCAATGAAGAATCAATCATGCTTGGAGACTGAAGTATATATTGGGAGGGACATTGAAGAAGAAGAAATGAAATGAAGGGAGAGACAAGAGAAGTTTGGAGGGTAAGGTGGCGAGTGAGGGTAGGGGAGGGGATATAGGAAGGGTTCTGAATGAGCATTTAAAACCGCTACCTACTACCAAAGCAGAAAGTTGGGCCACTGCATTTAATATCCATTTGATTCTCCCTCCCTCCGCCCAGTCCCATCCATGTTTCTCCTTTTTTTCCCAAGCCTTAAATTCTTTTTACTTTTTTTTCTCCCATGGGGCACCCCATTCTCCCACAGCTAAACCTTTTGACAAGTTACTAGCTGGTTTAGCTAATACCCCTAATATCATCATAATCCGCATGCGTGCAATATTTATGGACCAGCAAAAATTACTATGTTATATTATCATGAATCAATCGCTCTTGGTACACCCCCAAGAGAGAGCAGGCAATTTTAGGATGAAAGTGCATTCGTGTGAGTGGTAAAATATGGCTTGTCTGGGTGGACAGAAATGGCTAAACCAGAGTTCCAAAGTGAGAAAAAAAATTATGGGGTTAACTGAAATCGTCCTTTAAGCCGACCACATGGGTTGGTCGTAAAGCCAGGTGAAGCAAGCAAGAATTCAAAGGTGTGCCTCAATGGACAGAGAGCCCATGCCATGATGGTGATAGATACTCTCTTTCTGCATTGCCGAACCATAAACACCACCAACATTAATGAAGGAATCTCTCTCTGGGATGCTCAGGCAGCAAAATTAAATAGGTAAGGCCATACTCACTCATCCACACTGTTTAGAATTTGGAAGTGAAACTCAATCGCTAGAACAAATCAATGAGCACGAACTAGAGTAAATAGATCATTCAACTAAAATTTGTCCTTCTAAAGAATCTTTTATTGAATTAAAAAAAATACAATTTGTATCCATGTTAAATCACTCTTCACTATAATCAAAACCATTCGACTTAATTACGCTTTTACGAACAATACTAAAGAATAAGTAAAAGATTAAACGTAGGCATGTTCATTGAACTAGTAGTTAAAAGTTTTCAAATTTTATTATTATTTTTCATTCACTTAAATTATGTTTTTAATTTTTTTTATTGTGGTAATATTTTAATTATTTTCAACAATATGAATAACATTACTTTACATCAACTACCAAAAATAAAAATACATTATTCAATATATTTTTAAAACAAGCACATAAAATCACATAAGAATTAGCATGTAAAAATCAATGATTCCTCCCTGTATATATACAGATATTGCTTTCAATTTTCATATTACCTTCCCGCTCTCTTATTTATCTATTTAAATAAAACAATATACATACATGCAAGTGTAAGGCAATAAACCAATTATTATACTATCAAACAAGGTTTTCTAGCATTAAACAACGAATTTTATAATAAATCATGATTCGAACAAAAAATGTATCATCAAATTAATATAATATCAGAATATCAAGAGAAGAAAAGATGCAAGCTGGCTCTAGCGTCATTGATAATCAATCAAATCTTTAAATATTTAATTCCAACCACTCAACCAGCAAAACAAACTAATATAAATAAATAAACTTGAACAATGCCTCCTGCTTCAACCATGTAGTAACTTGTAATTTGTCAAAGGAAACGAATAGATATTTACATTGGATGAAAAAAACAAGTTATGGTCTTCTGGTATACAGCATATTTCGGATAATCAGAGACGCAAAGCAACTCCATGTGTAACTTCGAATATATAACACCTTCATTATTGTGGCTCTTCCATTATCCAAGTTAATCCCAAACTCATCCTAATCACGGGCAACATGTCTATGTTATTTCTGTACATTGCCTAAGTTGCTCTGATTCAATATTTTTCTTTAAATACCTATGTCTGACACATACTCGAACCCGGGTATGGGGATATAACCCTCCAAACATCTTCAAAATGCATTAAAAACTTGAAAAAGATAGAACTTACCCGTATCCAAGATCACACTTGAATCCAGTAATATACGTATGTATCGCCTTCTGTAAAGCAGGATTATGCATTTTCATTCCAGGAATTTCACTCATGCTTATCTTAAACACTGAAATTCTAGGTTAACAGGTTATTGGTTCTCCCTGCTGATTACTTTAGCATAAAAACTTCCAGAGCTCTATAAACTACAATAACCCAAGTACTGAGCAGCTGGTGAAACTCCAAAACCAGATGATATACTCTTCCACTTTGAATAGTGAAATCCAAAGCAAACTATAGCTCACAAAAATCATTACTGATCATCACTTGAGTGGAGTAGCTTCATTAGTTTGTTTCTTAACATTGCTGCAAGAAGTTCATTTTATAGTGTAAAGCGTCAAGTGCTTCAATGTTTTATAACGAAAGAACGAAAAATTAGTACCGTGAGTGGTAACTCTTTTCGTAGAATTAAAATTGAACAAAGAAAGCAGATTCTGAAATCTTTATTTTGGTTAGAAGAATTATTTTACGTTTATTACCTGCATCATTGTACCTTTCTTCTTTGACAGCTAAATTTATATTCCTCACCAGATTCAGCTCCTCTGTTAGCAAATCCGGGCCATCTACAGCACTGGAAGTATACAACCGTGCTTAGAGTTAATATAAGGCAACCAATTTGTGAGAAAACACCAAAGGCAGCATATACAGCATACCTGTCAAGCAATACATCATAAGCAGATTTTGTATCACGCACTCTGCCCATCCCATAGCTGATTCTAGTCGCATCTTCCAGGACGATTTGTTTACTTACATAGATTGGAGCCTGCATACAGAAAATACCAATTAGAAGCTTCAGAGAAGCAATCGGTAGAAGTGAATGCACCGGTGAACCTTGAAAAAATGAGCCATTTTGATGTTGAAACGAGAGAGAGATTGCAAATTGGAAACACTAGACCAACCTACTCAACTCGAAGCTGTTAGTTTCTATTGAACTTTAACACTGGTAAAGGCTCAAAGACAGCACGAGAAAAACATGTTTGAGTAGTAATCACACAACAGAGTAAGAAAGCTAATCCCGTTTTTTTTTTTTTTTTGATTGATTTATAATAATTTCCCACTACATACCTTGCATCTCATAGCCACATTGATGGCATCTGAGGGCCGTGCATCCACACTTATCACATCATTTTCCCCTGGCTGTAAAAAAAAAACCCCCCGACAATTGAAACAGGTTCCTGTATCACCGAAGGAAATAAAAGAAATACAAACAACTTTCAAGTTTTAATCACCTTGGTAAAATACAACTTCGCAAAGTAAGTATTGACAACTCTTTCTGTAATTCTCACCATTTTAACCTGAAATGAAGACATGTATAAATCAATGGAAAGAGATATTACACAGTATCCTGCACAATTTTCCTAAAGTTAGTGCAATTGAGAGCATCGATTATGAAGGTAGGGAAGTGTCTTGAATCTGTTTGAATTGATTATCTCCTTTCTTATCTTACAAATTCATTGCTTATTTACACCTACTTTAACCATTCAAAATAGTTTTATATAGATATTAAATGTCAAGAAAAATCTAAACCAACTTTAACCAAGTGTCTAGATGATTTCAACATGTCTTAAATACATGAGAAAAAACTACATACTTCATAACCAAACCTCTCCGCAACATGTTTAACAAGATGAAACTGGTCTGGACGAGCCTGCAAAAGATAAATTATGTCAAAATACAGAAGAAATGAGTTTAACTATAAGAAAGATAAAATGTTTAAAACAATAACAGATTAAGAAATTACCCCATTCTCATCTCCCCAAAAGTGAGCTATTAGTTTTTCAACGGCAAATTCCCCTACAAGAGCAGATTAGAGCTATTAACGAAACAACAGATACAATGAACAATAACAATTAAGAGAAACAATGGAATAACAGGACGGAATTGTTGATTATCATGTATACCTACAATAATGGGTAGCAAGAAATCTCCATCACAAGAAATCTTAAGAAAAATAGTCGGACTGGGAAATCGACTAAGAAAGGATTGTCCAATTGAAGTACTTTTAGGCCTTGAGATGGGATGCTGCTTCCTAGATGACTTCCATTTTATTTCTTCTTTAAATCCCCTTAACATCCGGTAGTGCGAAGCAGTTTCTGTTCCATAACGTAACTCCAAAGTTAACAGATTCCCAGATTTTCTTTACCAAATTCGAGGAGGAAGAAAAAGAATAAAAAAAAGTCAAACCTGAAAGGAGAAGAGAAGCTTCGAGAAACTGGTGATCTGGGTCTTCCTCGTTGCTAAATTGGGGCCCGAAACTACCATGGATCGAGTGACAAGAAATGACGACCCGTTTCGGCGACGGACGGCGATTCGACGCGAAATGCAAGCGGATTGAAGAGAAGCGAAGCGAAGGAAAAGAAAAGGTGGGTGTTGGGTTACAAGCATTTGATGAATCAGAGAAAACCCAGAAAGTGGAGAATGTACGGGAGCCAAACTGAGCACCGAGCATTGTGCGCGAGAGAGATAATATGAGAAGTGTTAAGGATTGGGGGTTTTATTTCCAATGAAAAGGGAAATAAAGTTACTCGGCATGGGCAAAGGAAAGTGGGGAAACACCGAACCTACATATACATGTGTTCCCAATATGTAAGCTTTGACGTGGAAAGCTAAGCTTATGGATAGAGATATAGTTGGTGGGGTTATGGACTTGGGAACTTTATTTTTCTGGACCAAGTTTCTATTATTTTTTGTTTAATCTCTTGTGTCGGCCATGAAAGCTGTTAGAAATATGTTGTACCCTCCATCAGTCCGAAAGAATTTAAGTTCACTCAATGACAAGTACTCTCTATGTTACATTTCATAGTCTACTCTAAATCGCTCTCCAATCACTCATTAACTAATGATCTGAATCGTCCAAAAGTTTAGCTCAAAGGGTTGACAGATTAATATAATATACCTTTGACAATTTGACTTCCCGTACACGAATTACCATGTGGCTCTAGATATTTGGAGTACATAAAATAGCTCTCCTAGAACAAAAAAGTCCACGACTCTTTCTCTAGACATTAACTCTCTCACACTCGTATAAGAAAAAAAATTTGTCATAAATTTAGAATCAGTGATTTATTGTCTAATTTAAAAGAGGTGAACCACTAATCATCGGCTAACCTTCTTGTTTCACACCTTCTAAACTATTATGAACCATCACCTCACATGTTACTTAAACATTTGGTGAGGTGAGCATTGATCAATTTACAACCAAAAGAATTAGTAATGATGTAAAAACTTAAACAAGAACCCAGGCCCATATTTAGAGCCGAAAGCAAGATTGATTAACAAATGGAAAAAAAGGCCACTCTCAGACTTGATGAAACGTTAGTTAGGAAGCTAAAAGAAAGATACCATTCGAGCAACGCAAGAATTATCGAGAGACGTGAATGAAAACATGTGAAAACGATATAAAAATATTATAATGGGAAGAGGATGAGTAAAGAACGTCGCTTAAGAAAGGTACCGTTTCAGAGGAGTAGAAGATGAACACGTGCAATTATAATCCAACTCATAAGAATGTGAGATGAGCACATGCAATCCTAACTACACACTAAAGAGACGTAAAGCTAGATATGTGACCTCAACCACATATCGACAAGTCCTTATAAAAGTCTTCATATACAATATAACAAGGGTCATTATTACGAATATGTTATAATGTTATGTAAATAAAATAGTAGTATAAAAGTTTTATTGAATATTATGGTAGCCATGTAAATTTAGTTAGGAATGTCAGCGCATCCAACCACAGCACTACTAGAACCATAATTTAATGCTTAATTCGGAGAAATGAATTTCTAGATCTTGACATGTATAAAACCACAATAGCAATAACATTAAAAGTTCAAATGATTGCAAACGTATGAATTATTTTCTTTTTAGAAAGTTATTGTTGCAGAAAAAAAAAAGTAAACCATTGTAAGAATGAAAGTTATGCGAAAGTACTTATAGAATTGAGATTATGGATTTTTGTGGTTCTTTGTCTAAATCAAAATGGGTGAATCATTAAGTATTGAGAAGAATCGTTAGAGATAATGTAATAGATCTTTCTGGATATGAAATAAAGTTAAAACATTAAAAATTATAATTTTAAAATTACTAACTATTCGTCCAAATCAGAAAGAGTAAACTATATGATCTCTCTAGAGACAAATCATATCTTAGTGTCATAGATCCCTAAGCTCGAATATCTTTGTTTGAGCTACAAAAATGCTCGTAGATCCTACATCACTAGATCAATATAAACAACAAATGACACTCGTAGATGCCTTAAATTGAGGTGTTTTCAATATAAACAACAAATGACACTCGTAGATGCCTTAAATTGAGGTGTTTTCTCTCGTATAATAATAGAAGCTCCTTCATTGGAGTTCTTGACTGATAAGGTATGTGAAATTTTATTAATATTTGTGTCTCTACGCCTGAATCAATAAAAGGTGAACCACCATTATTCTTCTACTATTGAGAATATTGAAATAATTGTGAATCCCTCGTTAATATATTAGAGATAACCTTAGATGAGACGGAATGACAAATAGTGAGATAACCAATAAACTCATCTCAAATTGTCGTCAAATTAACATATTAGATCTGTGATAATTTGGGTCCGGCCTTAAAATCATATTCTCTCTCGTATGTGAATGGCCATACGCTCTTAGATATTTGAAGAACATAATGCAACTCTTGTAGGAGAAAAATGGATAAGGATACTTTCTCTCTCTAGACACCGACTTTCTCTCACTCCAGTCAGAGAAAAATCATGTGAGATGAATTTAAACAAACTAATTGTCTCCTCGTTTTTGACGGCCTGGCATCTTATATTACATTCCATGAACATGAGTACTTCTACTCCCTCCCACTTATTTTAATAGGCGCCTATTGGATCATCTTCTGGATCTTCTTCACCAGAGGTTTTTTCTGCGCCTCCCGTGCATCATGGGGAGTCAGAGTCCCAAGGGAATCAGCCCTCTATTGAGCAGCCTGCATCTTTATCATCTTCTAGTAACAACGGGTTATCCTTCATCCTTTATCGTAGCAGAGCTATCTCCATCTCCGATTATCGTCTTTCTTATTTTCCACCACTCAAAAGTTCCTAGTTTTTACAGAGAAACATGACATCTTGACTTCTTAGGGCAAAAACAAAGTCCATAACGCGGGAATTAACCAAGAGATGCTTACAGAACCTGATTTTCTCGAAACCCTTTCTTGTCTGTGCGTTTTTAATGCAACCAAAAACCTGGGTCTATGGTGCTGTGTCAACTAACATGAACAATCCTGACAGCCCAAATGCTACTATACATACCTAAGCATAAATTTTATTCGGCCTATCGACAATTTTGTTTCTTTATCGCCTAACACCACATTGCTTTCCATTTTCAACTTCACCCTGTGATGATACAAGTATCGGAATGCGCTAAGTACAAGGTCCTTCTACCTCCAGGGACCGTCTCTAAGCTCGGTATATATGAAAAACGGAGAGTGACAAAAGGTATATAATTACTGATTTGATAGTTTCTCTTAATAATGACATAATTACATGTTACAAGCTGACCAGTATGAAGCAATTGGGTTCAGAAGCAAACGAAACATTCTTCTGATCAGAAAAACATCGGTTGCATCATCAGCATCTAGTTTCACAACCTGAGTGACAGTAAAAGTATTGGGGAAGCTGGAAAATTGATCACTTTTCATTGTTACTTAAAGTGGGTGTGGATCGTGGTTTGGGAAACTGCTTCAATAACTTGATCACTTCATATGTTCTTGTGTCTCGACCCGAGTAAAGGCAAAGATCAAGTGGGGTTAAACCATCCTGACATATGTAAAACAACCGATGCATTAATAAAAGTTGAGAAATAAACCAGAGAGAACATCTATTTATGTTGCTCTTGAAGGAAAAATTAAGACGAGATAGAGAACAAATATGAATCAACACCTAACAGGTTATAATACCAAAAGCCAAATGAATTATCAAGGGAACATCAGTTAAGAATTAAAACCTCTCCATACCTTGTTTTTAAGCATCTTATCAGCCCCTCTAATTAGTAACAGCTTCACTATATCAGTTCTTCTAGCTTGAACAGCAAGGTGTAATGGTGTCCAACCATCCTAGAAAGGACAAAAATCAAAACAAATGCATTGCCATACAGAACGTAAGCATTGAAAACAAACTCGCAAAGCAACAAATCAGGAACGGAACCATACATTGTCCTGAAGGTTTATATCAACATTGTATAACAGGAGGAGTTTAATAGTAGGAGTTGATGCAGCATAAACAGCATAATGCATCAAGGTGGCACCATCCTGTTGGCAGCAAAATAAGAAAATGTTAAATATCTACCCCAAATCCACTGCCAGTCAGTAAAAAGGTTATATTGTAGGAGTATCTCAAGCCTGCATCTCCCTTTCTTTCCTAAAATGAACACTCGTCCACGATGAACTAAGAAAATAGAAAATAATCACCATAAGAACGCAGATAAAGGTTGTTACTGGGAAAATGCCCAGCAGTTTCATAACTAAAGCACCAAAAGGAAAGGATTAAAGAAATCAGAAGCCAAATGAAAAACTGAAATCTAGAATTCCCATAAATATCCAGAGAAATGACCTTGTTTTATTAGAGTTTACATATCTTGAGCACAAACTTACTTCATCGCGAACAAATGGATTTGCTGATTCTCTTAAAAGATAGTTGGTAATAGCCTGCTTTTTCCCAATAATTGCCTTGTGAATTGCAGTCAAACCATTCTGCAACGAACATTGAAAACTTAAAATCAGGAAATTTGAGGAAAAAAAAGTGAAGTCTCCATGTCAGTGGAGATCATTTTAATACCTTGTCCACAGCATTGATGTCAAAATTGTGTTTCAATAAAGCATCAACGAGGTAAAATTCTCCGGACGCAGCAAACGTGTGAAGAGGCAGCCATTTTCCCTATAGAAAGTTTTACCAACAGGCAGATGCAGGATACCAGAGAATAATCCAATAAGACGAGACCAGAAATTGCTTAACAACTAACAAGAAACAAAAGCAAAATTTAACCAACATTCAAGAACTTCAAAAAACTTACAGAAGTAGCAACTGCTAAATCAGGTACACGCCTATTTAACATAAATTTTTCCTCCTTTGTAAACAACTTACGTGCGCCTGTATATATATATATATATATTTTCAAGCACAGAAGATGGATAAGAAATTTACAAGTAATAAACAAGGACACAGAGCTTGGTGCAAAATAGAAGGTTACATATATAGATATACTATATTTCCAAGAGCTAAAACAAAAGACATTACCTCCAGACTTTTTCTTGTCGAGCTGATAGTTTTCGCTGTTGAAGAACTGAGCTACATCATCGAAACCCTTTCCGTAAACTGCCCACCTGGGATTCTTAGGAGCCACGCGCTCACCTGAAGATGACAGATTCATTGCAGCCTCCATTGACTCTTCTTCATCCTCCTCCTCCTCCTTCACGGAAAAACTCGAAGGCTTGTCAAGAACCACGGGATTCAACTGAGCTAATTTAGCCTCTTTATACTTCAAGTATTTTTGCAAATTCACGTTCCTTATAGGAACCAAACCTTGCCTCTTCTTCTCGACTCTGCACCCAAACTCCAATTGCTGCGCCATTTTCCGCCTGTCCTTCTTGGTTATATTGATCTCTTCTACAACATGGCTCCATTGCTCGGGAATCAAATTCTCGGGTTCAATTGCCACCGATTGTTTATTGTTTTTCTTCTTGGATTTCGTTTTAGCAAATCTCGTGGAGGTATTGGGACTGTCAAAAGTGGAGTCGGCTTGAAGATAAGGGTCTTCGAATGCACCGTCTTCGAAGACGAGGCAATCGCCGATGACGCGTTCTTCTTCATCACTGGCGCCGTCGTCGCTTTGGGCAATGTAAGAAGAGAGGAAGGAAGGGGAGACGGAGTGTAATTTAAGAGAGAAATGAAAGTTGTGAGGCCGAGAAAGCTTGAGGGGAGCAGAAAGAGGAAGCAGTGATATGGGGAAGATTTTGGGAGTTGGGGGTTTTAGGATGGAGGAAGAGGCAGTGACATTGCTTCTCTAATCGTTTGCTGTTTTGCTCTTTGGCATATTAAGCACCAAAACAATCTTTTTAATTTTTCTTATCGGAAGATGAGGTTCAACTTTGACGAGACGACATAGCGCTCAGCCTGGTGGAGTTGGGTCCTAGTTGGCCCATTTAACATAACTGACATGCTTTCTTGTTGATGTGAATTCAAAGGTTTGATCCAATCAACAATTATAAATATAATAATTAATAATAATAATAAAACAATAATTCAAATCTCTCTAACAAAAACTTAAAATAGTTCAAATCTCTCTAATACAAACTTGAAATAATTCAAATCCAAACTGACTTGAAAATGAAAATTTAGACTTAAAATGATCGAAACCCGAAAATAACAATAATCCACCACAAACTCGAACGCAATAAACACTTACCAAAATGACAAAATTTTGAATTCAAATCAATCTGATCACCTCACTCAATTAATAAATCCCAGAAGTCCATGTAAAAAAAAACATAGAAACCAGATCGCCACAACCGGCAATCAGCTCGAAAATTGCACAATTTTTGTGTAATTAAACTTACATTTTACCGTACAGCTCAAGTTTCTAAATATCAAAATAAATTCGTTGTATATAAACGACTTACAGTTTATAATTTTAATGTATTTTGTAATAGAATTTAACATTTTTTTTTTCATTTAAGATATGCTATATATTAGAAAGAACAGGTGAAGTTGAAAATTTTGAGTAAATATTTACAGGAGGATTACCATGAGAAAGAAGTTGCTGCCTAACTTCGGGAGCAGGAACCTTAAAGGCCGGTTTGACATGAGCAGATTAACGAAACTTCAGAAATCAGATTTAATTTCCATACAAATCTCAAATGGTTCGGTATCCTTTAGTCTTTTAATACTGTCTAGCCCGAGTTCGATTGCACCATAAAAGCACAACTGCATCCTAAATAGAGAAAAAAGGAAGCTGCAAACATTAAACTCGAAGCTCTGTCCAAACTCCAAACTAGAGCATACATCAACATTCAACACTGACGTGACTCAGTAACAAGCCCTCGTCTTTTCACGTTTAGAGATTGCTTCCAACTGTAATGCTTCACCTAGAACCACGAGAATAAGGTGGCGAATACGAACGGTCCCTCCTTGATCTTCCACCATGAGGAGAATATCTTGGAGAATAATCACGACCTCGATATGGTGACCGTCTTGGAGATCGACGATACCCATAGTCATCACGGCCACCACGATACCTGCCACGATCACCACGACCACCTTTTCCCAATGCAAGATCATAAAAAGCATTAGTTACAGCCTCATATCATAGCATCCTGTTCTCTAATATATAATTTATTTAAATTTTCAGACATACCATAGTCTCTGGTATTTTTCAGTCCAAGATAATGCCCTGGTGTAGGAGTCCTTGGCCGCTTCCTCCGTGACTGAAAAGCAGATAAAACACCTTAATATTCAACTAGGCAAATATTGGGATAGCATCATCAAAATGGTTCAGAATCTACATCATCATGTATTTTTTAACAAAATCATATCGTCAAAAAACTGACATGTTGCTCTGAATAGGGTAAAAAAAACTTCATTTGGAAGATCACCTGGAAGGTGAAAAAATGGCCATAGAAAAAAAGGAAAGAATAAAAGCATGATACACATCTGGACACAAGTATTTCCTATTACATAAATGCCATACGTAATATACCATAAAAGCCTGATTATAAAGTTGTTGTATTGGCCGTTGATTAGTAGAAAGTGAATGCTGAGGTTGTATAGTTGTTGGGCAATATAGTTGCTAATTTAGTTGATCACATGTATTTTCAAGCTGTTTTAGCTGGCCATTGATCATGCTTGTTTGACTTAAGTTGAGATGGATGATCTCATCATCTTTGATTGCTGCCAAAATAGCTGACAAAATACTGTTCTGGATATAACCATAAAACCTCCAGGTTAAGAAGGATGATAAACACACAAAACTATAAACTCTAAGCAGCAAGGATAGAATTAGATTACCCTCTCCACAGTTATGTATCGACCTTCTAAAACTGATTGGTTGAGATACTTGATGCACCGGTTGGCATCTTCAACATTGTCCATGGTAACAAAAGCAAAACCACGAGATATGCGTGTACGAGGTTCAACAACCAAAAAACACGATGCCACCTTCAAAACAAAATCAACTCATTAATCATATATTGAGATGGAATAGTAGCCAAAAAAATTGAAAAAAGGACCCAATAGTTTTGAGTAAATAGCAGAAAACCAACCTTCCCCTCCTTGGAGAAGTGCTCTTCAAGACCCCTCTCTGTGACCCTTTGAGATAGACCAGTAACATAAAGTGTGTTTCCAGGATTTCCAGATTCAACCCTGACACATCAATCCAAAATAATATAAATAAAGGGGCATTTGAAATTCCAGCATTAAAGTAAGATAATACAATATATGGTGGTATAAGCATTAACATTGCAATTCAGGTCACAACCACAGAAAGGATAACAATGGCAAAACCAAAACTGACCTGCCACTACTTCTTGACCTTGACCTGGATCATGAAAGAAAAGCCAAAAAGAAAGCACAATAAATTTTAAAAGAAAGGTGAAAAAAAACAAAAAAAGACAAGATAAGCAATACTTCAGAAAATGAAATGAAATCAAGCAGCTGGAAAACAGACCTGCCACGACTGCGTGACCTGGACCTATGCCTTGGCCTTGACCAGGAGCGGGATCTCGACCTAGACCTAGGTCTAGATCTAGATCTGGATCTTGACTGTTCTCTCCATGGAGAGGGAGACTGAGAATTTCTGATACAGCCAGGCAACATATTAGACGAATATGGAGATTGATGAAACAACAGCTGGAAAATAGGCTTTGCGAAAGTGTGGAAGGCTATATACAAAATCTTACTCTAAAAGAAATAAAATATATTTATTTTTCAATGAAGTAAAAATAATTTGCGGCATCAAAATTGATACGGACTGAACTCGCGAACAATGAAGCTCGTCAAATCCCTAAATCATCCCGACTTGTTCAATCTAGGGATTCACAATATAATAATTCGAAAGAAATAAGCAGAAAACCAATAATATAGCCAGAGATCAAAAGGCAAAAGACACTGACGAAATTAAGCTAACCTTTTACGAGGAGAATCCGCCTGTTCCATAATAAAAACGGATTTAAAACGAGGAATTGCAGACCAGCTGAATTAAAAACAAACATGAAAGGAAAAAGATATGAATGAAAGATAGAAAGATCTTACCATTTTGACGAAGAGAAAGGGAACAGCGCGAGATAGGTAAATGGTTAATTTAGGGTTTATACGCGTAGAGAATGATGCAAAGGTCAATTAAATGTCGCCTTCGTTATGAGAAAAGAGCATAGGTAAAGTTTTGGACAAATCGTAAATGAATAGAATTTTAGAGGAGAGATTCAGTGCGGTTGGCTTGATATAGAGCTTCGGTGCACCACCACCATTTTAGGAATGTAAAATTACCGGAAATAGGACTACTGTGAATATTGTATTTTGTGTTTGGTTGGTTTAGTAGGAATGTAACATTACCGTGTTTGGTTAAAGGAATAAAATATTATTAAAATATATATTTAACCAAATTGTCCTTATTATATATTTGTATAATATTACAAGTTGAAAAATATTTATATATTTTCTTTAAAAATTTATATTCATAGTATTTATATAATTTTTTACAAAATAAAAAATATAAAAAATGTTTAATGAAAGAGTAAATTTTTATTTTAACCTCTGAACTTCATATAAATTTTAATTATAGATTTTTTTTATAAATCTAAAATAATTTAAGGATAAATTTGTGATTTAACTTTCGTAGAATTTTTATTATTCAATGACAAAAGAAAGATATTTTTGAAAAAATAAAAATTTAAGGGCATTTTAGTCCAAAACGTCGGTAATCCAACAATACCTAAAGAAAGGGAGGTAATGACATTCTCGGTAATATACCCAAAAAAATCCATTATTGATAATATTCCCGGAACCAAACAGGAGATATGGATTCATTCCCATGAAAATCTCACATTCCCCATCCAAACGCCCCCAACAACTATGCAAATGGAGTGTTTATTCCCTCTCTTTTTTATGGACAATTTTCTTTTATTTTTAGTTATTATATTATTTACAAATTACTAATTATATGATTCCATAAATAAAAAGGAATTAAAATTAAAACGCCATAAATAAAATGTGTATGGTTTTAATAACTTAAATGCTTGAAAAAATTATTTATTTTATAGTTAAGTTATAAAATAAGGATGCTAACTTAATTAATCAAACACCTTTTTAAATAAAATTTAACGATTTATTTATCACCTCACCTTATTATTAATTAATAATAGGAGATATTCCATCCATCAACAAGTTTATCGGAGCATATATGGATTATCACTCAAAAAATTAAATATCTTCTGAAAGATAAAATACACCACAAATCACTAAATCGTATTTAAATAATCAAGAATGAAATTAACTGCTTGTAGCAGTGCACTTATGTACCCAAAAAGATGAAAACATACATTCTTAAGTACAATGTTCCATATCCAACACAAAGTAGCCGCTTAATCCATGGCTGCACACTGCTTCACAAAATAATGTACATTTTTTACAAACCCTGATCCGAATTTACGGTCACAAACACAGAGCAAAGATGATTATGTTGTAAGAATATCCGGCATCTTAATAGAGTGACCTCCGATTACTTTTCCACCAACATCCGGGAAAGTTTCATGTCCGGGGAGCGGGGTAACTTTTCCATCATTATCTACTTGCAGAGGGTACCTCATAAGTTGGCCCTGCAAAGCCGAATATTCGGTATCGGTAAATTTCTTCCAGTTATCTTCAGCAATCTTGTTTACTGTCTTCACACATTCCAGATTTTCTGGTCCCTCGAAACACTTATTCAGCTCACCAAGATGCTCTGCCCACAAGGACATCCTATACCCATATACCTGCCATGAATGACGATCAATCGGGCTAATAGATGCCTTCTTACCACATCCAAACGACAGCAAAAAAAATGGTCCAAGGATTAGTATTCTTACCTGACCATGTGGATGTTTCTTTTTCTCAGCCCATGTATAGTGTCGTTGATAGGCACCCATGGCTATCTCGGTGTCTTTTGTACCGGCCATGGATCTTTGGTTAATATTAGCAGACCCTACAATCGCGTACTCATCATCTATTATCATTCCCTTGGCATGAACGTAAATCATGAACCGACCCATTTTTGCAGACTCGGAGACCTATACAAAATATAGATAAGCAACAATCTTAACAGGAACCTTAAAAAGAACAGAAGAGAAGTGATTACCGAACAACCATCGCCGCCGAACATTTCCTGAGAGACCTCTTCCCTCTTGCCAAGGCAATAGAAATTGAGGTAATCTCGTGGATGTGAGTCCGTAATTCGCATGTACTTGAGTTCTCGTGCGACAACTTCGTACATCATTTGCATTGTTTGAGACTGGAAACAGGAAATGGATTAACGGAAGTAGCAGAATCACTCTGTCGATTCATGTTCCTATCATAATGCATGGATATAAGATGCTACAGCTAATATGTTTAAACCTGCCAGTATAGGATTTCTTGTACAGCAAGCGTTTTCGTATCACCCTCGGGCCACAGAGGGACAATGATATATACGGTGAATCTCTCCCCTGCTCTGATTTTACTAGCAACCTTTAATGCCAGTTCCATCGGGATCAGATGATCGGCCCCTGCATATACCATAAAGCAAATAATGTGAAAACTACAGGAAACATACTGGAACACTGCATCTTACCTTGTTGATAGCTACCAAAAGAATTTCTATAATCTTAATAACAAAAGATAACACCAATAACCTGCATCTTTATAAGATGGCCAAGCATAAGAAGATCCCAGAAAATATTGATTTTCTATATATATGTAATGCTGGGCAGATCTAATTGCCTGTATATAAGCTGTTTGAATGCTTTTATCGACGACTACATTTTTCGAATACAAAAGTTTCTGCAAAAAGAAGGAAAAAAAGACCATGAAAAACTAAGAACCATGATATCATAGAATACAGATGCAAAGTAGTTGCAAGTAGAAATCTGTTTCTGATGAAAATAATGCCAATTTCAAGGAAAAACCTGCTTCTCAGATTCTTTAATGTCTTTTGGAAATCCTTTCACAGATCCTGAGTCAATGGACCGGAAAATCTGTAGAAGAAAAAGAAACCAAACCAACATTACTAAACTAGAACAAAACCAGAAGTGTAGTTATTTTACACAACCTGAACATCCCAGTTTTCGGGATCATCGTCACTAAGAACATATAACTTGGGATCATCTTCCGGAACCACAGTGGTGCCCTGGTCCGTGACAGTTAAGGGAGGACTTAGTATCCACGAGATTCGTTCTATCCTAATCAAAGCGTCATCATTTGTGTGAAGCCTTTCACTACAAATTAAAAAGAAATCTTTCCACTTGATTGATTCCCTCCATCTCTGCTCAAAGTTGATAAGAACATCATACGCAGCAGGCCCTTCGATTTTGCTGTGTAAATCGTGCCATGGCTCTCTAGGCGCCTTGATTCCAGCCTTTCAAATATAGAGAAAAGTGGGAACAGGACAAGGGAAAATAAGGAAGTTGCTAACAGTAGAAGTAATCACACTAGTAATTCCCATTAACACACACAATACAACATCTGAACAGAGGAACTTATATATTAAGAAGAAACCGAGCAATCACTTACTGGAAAAGTAGGATTATGAAAATCATCCTTAAAAATAGTATCAAGATCCTTAAGTATTCGATGTTCAGGTGTATCATAGCGCCCGTCACAGAGATCAATACCTCCCACGAATGCAGTAATCTTCCGATCATTACCGGCTGCCTGTGTATCGACAAGAACGAACTTTTGATGATGCGTAAACATGGTTCCGACGACCTGATGAAAACCATTGCAGCAAATTTTCAAAATCAAATAAGCAAAAACCAAGCATAGCAGATGCAATCAGCTTAATCGGAAAAACATAAAAACTTGCCTTCTGCTTGAAATAACCAAGTTTATTGGCAGCATAGCGACCAGCCAGCAAACAAATAACAGACGAATGCTTAAAATACTTTCGAGTTTCTTCGTCATGTGTATCCATTTGTCCCTGCGGTATCCATCGACATCGATCCACATTAACATGGTAACTCAAACAACTAACAGTACATAAAACAAAACAAAAAAAACATGCGGGAACTTGTCACCTTCTTAATGATACCAAATTTGTCATTAGTTTTATCATCCCAAACCAACAACAGCACCCTAACACCTTCTTCAGATTTATACTTGAGCAATTCACCGAGGTTTAAATCCCCACCTCGTGGCAGTGGCCGAGTTGGCTCTCTAACGAGCTTGATCTTATGAAAAACAGACCAACCAGCAATGTATATCATATGGTGAGCCTCGGATATGGCATAACAAAGATCCTCCCAACACTTCCCCTGGTTAAAGAGTTTACTGTCGTCTAGTTTTATTCTCGGCAACATGCCGTCCGGCACGTGAGCGTCTTGGTAAAGCGTCACCTTGTTCCCCTTCCTCAGAGGGAAATACGTGTTCCTCACACCGCCTTGCTTCGGGTCGCTGGCGATGCTCTGCTTATAAAACGGGTTTTGCTCGCAGGGAGTGAATTTCATGTCTATGTGAATCGCCGTGTTCGGCTTAGGAGGCTTTCCCGAGGGACCGATGAGCGGGAACCAGCCGATTATACGCTCCCCGGTGGCGATGTTTTGGGCGGAGAATTTGGCGGTGCCGATTACTTCAGCGCCGAAGAGGTCATTGTCTTTGACGTTGATTTCGAGCTCGGTCAAGGGATGAGCCATGGGGATCATGAACCTCTCGTTCCACTTGGGGTTCTCCTTGTTTTTCAAGACGCGTGTTCGAGCCAAGGTGGATTGCGGCACTGTAACGGTGGCATAAGGGTCGCTGGTGATGATTTTACCATGGTGATGATCTTTAGTGTCTCCTCCTTGAGCGGCTGCCTGTGATGGAGATTTGCAGGACTCGCATGCTAGGCAATTGCGAAGATGATTAGACAATAAGTCCATGTTGGGCAACTTCCGGGCTTCAACAATGGTTAAATCTAAGTCTCCGTATAGGTAAATCACCTGCTTTACTATTTCCTCCTCCATTTTCAAGGTAGCTCACAGTAAAAAAAATTGCAGAAAAGAGAAACACAAAAAACCCAGAACCTCGAGAAGAACAGCAGACAAAGGAAGGCTTTTAGGAACCGGTGAAGATAGCTTTCAACGACCTTGCAATATAGAGAAGAACATTGGATATTGAAGACGATATGGAAGATTTAAGAACATGGACATGGCCGCTGCAGTAGCAGGAGTATTAAATAAGATAAATGTAATCTACGATCCCAATAAAACGATAAAATAATGATTGTCTTTATGTGTAAACTATAAGATTGGTCACTTATGTTACAGTTTTCTTTACTTTTGAACACTGATTTTAAAATCTTATGTTTTGATTACTTATATTATTAATTTGTTATATTTTGGTCACAACATCGTTGGCATTCGGCAATGAAGGTCGATAGAGTGGATCACCAGTGTTGAGCATGGGATGCTTTTTGCAGGGTTTTTATTTTTATTTTTCGGTAAACTATAAGTTTAATCATTTTTAAGATTAAATTGATATTTTATCTAAACTTTATAGATAAAATTAAAAATTAATTACTTTTAACAAATTTTCAGAGTCAAATACCAACTACCAAAACAAAAAAAAATCAATAATATCAGTAACCAAAGTATAATTTAAAAAAAAATCATTAATCAAAAGTGAATAAAATTGAAATATAAGTGGACAATCTCGAAGTTTACTCATGTTTTATTTATAAGTGGCCAATCTCGAAGTTTACTCATGTTTTATTTTTTTTTAACTTTTTTCATGTAACAAAAAAAAATCTTCTAATACAATACATGACATCTTTGTCACGACACATGGATCAACAAGATATTACTATTTAAACAATGTCATATTGATGTCATTAGCACATGGGTAGAGATCAGAAACTTTTTCCTAGAAGAGTAGAAGTTAATTGGAGGATTAAATTTAAAATGATATCAGTGTTGAAGAGACTAAAATCAGAAATTGAGCATTTTGAAGGGTCGGTGTCATCACTCTTGAGTGTTAAATACTCATTTTTGCATTACAGCTTGGAATTAGCCCACCAAGTTATGGAATGAAATGATGTTGGGGGTGAACTTTTTCTCCACCAACAGCCTGCTTTTACGTCAAGTGCGAAATGATTGGTGAAGTGGGTGGGGACCCTACGAGTTGCTCATATTTTTTGGTAAAATATTGTTGTATCCGCCACGTCATCTGGTGGGCACAGCTTTTCAGTTTTCGTAACACAGTTTAAGACAAATATGTTTCGGGGGTAAACTGCGAGAACCATAAAACATTTTTAATATACGATTAAAAAAATTATTGATTTTGTTATTATTTTTTAATTAATAAAATTGATAAAAAATTATTTAAAATATTAATTTTTTTAAATAATTCAGATAAAGTATCTAATAATAATAAAATCGATAAAGCGTTCAATAATAATAAAACCGGTAGAAATAATCATGTTTCTGTAATTTTTTTTATCAATTTTATTAAAAAAATAATAACAAAACCGATAGCGTCTTTTCATAACCACGCTCAATTTTATTCTTTTTTATTTCACTCTTCTACTGTACTTTAATATTTACTGAACTTTTAAATTGTTATTGTTTTAATGATTTTGAATTATTTTATTATTATTATTTCAGTATGATGTAATATTTTTATTATTATTTAATATAAAATTAATTTAAAATGTAAAATAAAAATAAAATGTGGTCGTTCATTGTTCACTGGTGTTGGATGTCATCGTCGACGGCCGTAAATGGTGTTCATTTGATATTAGATTTTATCAATCGTATGGTTTCAATCCTCTGAGTTCGAATTGACTTTTATTTTGTCGGTACACGCTCCGAACTCGATCAAAAGTGAGAAAATGAAATATTGGTTATCGTCGATCGTCGTAGGTGATGGTCATTTGATCCAAGATTTCATGGGTTGTTTTTCTCGACCCCTTGAGTCTGAATCGGACTTCCATTTTTCGGTACATGCTCTGAAGTCCACAAATAGGAGATCTAAAGTGAGAAAACCAAAATATTTCACTCGAGATTTATAGATTTTAGGATATTTTCCTGTGAAACAATCATCAGATTCAGGCTCAGCGTGTTAAAATGAGTCTCTCGGTACAATTTAAGATCTAGCGATTTTCGATTTTGAAGGACAACAATAATCGATGTGATGGGATTTATTACCGTAGATGATAGAGAATTTTTATATTTTTAATAATAATAATAAAAATGTTATGTCATATCAAAATAATAATTTACCTCTTATAGAAGTTGCAGATAGATTATTTTCCTTCGAGGATTGCAACACACCAAATTACCTTTTATGTTCTAGTTTTTTAAAATCTTCATCATCATACAAAAATTTAATCATGATTTTGTTTAAATAATTATTAGGTAATCAAAATAAAAATACAAAAATATATGATATACCAAAAAAACAATTAAATCTAAACTTAAATTTAACCCGATTTAATTTTAATATAAACATTAATATATTTCATCATTACAAAAATAAATAAAAATAAAATAATAAATGAATTTTAAAAATAACAATTCAATATGCTGTCTTTGAAATTTAACAATAAATGAATAAAAATTACTAAAATTGACATGATAATAAATTTAATTTTCAAATTTTATTTGATTTTAATTTTAAATTCTTACCTTGCATAATATAACAAAAATTACAAAGCGACCTCATTGATTAAAAGATGATTATTAAGCTTAGGATCTCGGTTTGAGTACATTGTCTGTTGAGATGTTTGAGCATTTAATCGTGAAATAATTGATAATATATATTATATTGTGATTATTTTAGACTAATGAAAGAAACTTCACCCTACAACTAATGGTATGAAAATAATCTTCTAACAATTTAATTTTACATTTGGAGGTGGAGTGGATATTTCTCTTGTATTTGGTTGTTAGAATTTGGAAAAATAAGAGGGCGAAATTAGATCGAATAAAATATGTCACGTTTTAAAGAGATGAAACATTGCCCTTACATCCATATTGGGGAAAGCCAATATCTTCTTCCTTTTATTATTTCAGAAGAATTGTTCTTCCACTATTATTAACAATTTTATACACAGACACGGAAATATATATATAAATATAGAATTATTGGATATTTCCACCTCAAACTAGATGAGCGGTTATGGACGACGTCACAGTTCTTCTCTCGTCTCTTCAACCTCAACTACAACAGCTACAAACGCCATGGATAACCTACCTTCTCTTCCTTTTCACTCGCTTTTCCTTTGGTTCACATGCCCCCGAATCAAAATCCGGCGACGTTTTACGTCTCGAGCAAAATTGCTTCATCCGTCCAAGGGAAGGGCCACCAACCTCCGTCGCCTCCAACGTCACATGTTCATCGGATTCATAGCCACGCTTTCTCCCGTTCAACATCTTTTTCCCCTTTTCCACTTCACCATATGCTCTCGAATCAAAACCTGATAATGTACTACGTCTCGAATAGAATTGTCTCATCTGCTGAAGGGGAGGGACGATATCCGCCGCCTCCTCCGCATCATCAAATTCCGATAACGTACTACGTCTCGAACAAAATTGCCTCATCTGCTGAAGGGAAGGGGCAACAACATCAGCCGCCTCGAATGTCACCTGCGAATCAGAATCATCCGACTCATAACCGTTATTTCTTCGGTTCAATACCTTCCTCTTTTCCTCTGCACCATGCGACCTCGAATAAAAATCTGATAACGTACTACGTCCCTTGGAAAATTGCCTCATCTGCTGAAGCGAAGGAGCAGCCTGCGTCGCCTCCGACGGCGCGTGCACATCGGAAAAATCAAATTCATAACCGCGCTTTCTCCCGTTCAACGTCTTCCCCTTTTTCTCTGCATCATATGCCCTCCAATTAAAATCCGATAACGTGCTACGTGACCCATAACGAAATTGCCTCATCTGCTGAAGCGAAGGACCAGCGTCCTCCGTCTCCGACGACGCATCAAAAACATCGGATTCATAGCCACGTTTTCTCCCGTTCAATACCTTCCTTTTGATCTGTTCCACTAACGCTTGGGCTAGAGGTGAAAATGCTTGCTTATGTTTGCCGACACCTCGTTTTTTCTTCATCTGGCTCTCGATTTGGATGTGGCCCGTGCATGAAACTCTCGGGGAAACAGGCTCAAGTCCCCCTAAGATCCCATTATTGGCTAGCTTTCGAACCTCCTTGGGAACCAAGGATACTCTCGAATGTGAAATTTTTTTAGTGCCAGGGTTGATCGGCGGGTTCACTCGGAAAGTAAGCACAGCCTTGTTCTTCTGTCTCACCGGCTTCACCATCGTAAAAGATTGATGAACCCTAAGCGAGACAAACAGATATGAGGTATTGACCTTGCCACACAAGATGGGAACCATGCAAAACAACAACTTCATTTAAAGGAGGGACTGCCTGTTAACTGTCAACCGTTTTGTTCGGATCGATTTTGAATCAAAATCATTTCAGATTTAATTTTGGGTAAACTATATTAATAGTCATCACTTTATATTTATTTTGGTCATTGAATTAATTTTTTAAAATAATTTAATATTAATTTATAAAAATAAATAAATATTTATTTTTTCCTAAGTAAAATAAAAAATAAATCTAATTGATCATCAACTTTAATCATAATTTAATTAAAATATTAACGTAATCAAAAATAAAATAATTATATAACTTAGTTAAGTGGTTAAACATAACATAACCTAAATATAATTTCTGATAAAAAAATCAATAAATTTTTTGTTCCATACCATCACTTTATTGTTCAAATAAAATTAAAGAAAATTTGAATAATATCATTTATTATTATCGTAATAATTAAATAAAAGTATACAAAATAATATATAAACCGCTAATAAGAAGAGAGAAAATAACGTGAAAAATAAAAAATATTATATTGATATTATGTTAAAATATTAATGACCAATAATTAAAACAGAAAAAAAAACTAATGTTGAAAATATTTTTATTAATAAAATTAATTTGATGATTAAAATAAAAAAATTAATTATCCTATAAGTTATTTTCATAACTTAAATATTTTTTTTTTATTTTCATACCATAAAAATTATAATTTCTAAATCATAATTTTTTTGATAGAATTTCTAAATCATATCTAAAGTTATGAATTGAAGATCAATATTAAATTAAGCCAGACCGAAACCAAATTTAATTAGCCAGAATCAATTTGTTTGCCAAGACCTAGAAAGTAGTATCTTCAAGTAGTCAAAGTAACAGCTACATTGGCAGCAATACATTTCATTCAACATTTTTGTTGCAGATGTTGAAAATAACAATAAAATACATTTAAATCATTTTTATTCACTAATTACTACCAAAAACAACTATTAAAGTATATATCCCCGGAAAAAAAATATTCATAGGTTGTTGATTGTTTCAGTCTTAGCTATTCCATGGAAACAACGTAAAATTACACATATCTCAAATACAAATATATTTTTTCTTTTGCTTCATTCCACCGGTCCAACAGGCCATTGCCTATCACAGGAACTGCAAACTGAACAAAATGACCCAGTCAAGTATACACAGCCATCATTCATTTATATAAAGACGGACAAGATTTTATATTAGGGACAAACTTTTAAATTTTAAATTTTAAGAGATGAGCTTATAAAATTTTAAAAGGCGAAAGCAGATTATGAATAAAAATACAAAGAAAAAAATTTAAAATATATGATAATATAAAATTTTTAAAAGACAACTATCCTAACCGTCTCCCCTCAATCCATCCCTGGTTTATATCACTACATGCTGACTAGAGATGTAAACGAGCCGAGTCAAACTTGACTCAAAAACTCGCGAGCCTAAAATTTTTAAACTCGACTCAAATTTGAAAAATAATTTTGAAGCTCGACTCAAACTCAAAAAGGCTCGAACTCAAAAATAATTCGAGAGCACAACTCAAACTCGATTAAAACTCGATTTTGAGCTCAATTCAAACTCAAATCAAGCTCAAGTGCTCACCGCGTGGCTCCGTAAATTAAACCTATGAATTTGGGCTTTAATTTATATGATCACTTGTGGAGCACTTGCTTCTATCTCAAAGATGTGGGATATCAGGACTTCCCTTCAAATTACTATCGCTTTCTTGTAATCCAAACGCCACTTTTCTCTCATCAAATTATCATACCGATGGCTCGTACCAAGCAAACTGCCAGGAAATCAACTGGCGGCAAAGCTCCACGCAAGCAGATAGCCACGAAGGCCGCTAGGAAGTCGGTCGACCAAGACGGAGGACAACAGCCGAGCATGCTAGAAAGGGCCTTACTTGCAATGCTTTGTTTGGTCTTGGGTTGCCAGAACTTGTCGCTATTGTTGGAGTGGTTGCTCGTGTTTGGACCTAAAAAGTTGTTGAAGTTGGCAAGACTATTTGGAAAGCTGTCAAGAGTTTTCAGTAGGTTTGTTGATTTCCTCACCTGGGTTTTTGCTCAATATGTAAAATGAACAAGGATTTGAATCCTTTTCTTCCTCTGTTCAAAAATGGTTCCTTTGTTATCGGGTTGTTCTAAAAATGGAAGCTTTGGTGTTTTCACTGAGGAACCTTTAGGGGGGAAATGAAAAGTGAGGAAATTCTTTACTGTTGTTTAACTAGGTGACCAATTAGAACATTCAGATGGCTTTTCATGGTGTATTGATTGAGATTCAAATTTGAGAGATGATTGAGCTAGGAAATGATAAATTTAATTTGATTGTTTCTTAAACATCCCATGTTCTGCATTTGAGTGATATTTGGCATTTCTTTGAATCATAACTGAAGGTAGCTCTACAAGATTGGTTTCCTTGGAATCATTACTTAAAATTCATCTATAGACCAATAATAATGATTATTGAGTTTAAGTAACTTCAGTATTATACCTTTTTGACTGCCATTCATGGTACACTCATTGTCTTTGTGGAACTTTATCTGAATAAGTAGGGTTGCTAGTTCTACCAGAAGTGTTCAAGTTGCTAGCAGAAGTTCGTAGCACTGTCGGATTGCTTGTTGTTGGTGAAGTCTTTATTTCAAACACAGATTAATCACATAGCAAGAATGAAATAAACAATAACACTAGAATACATTTGTTCTACTGAAGCAATGTATAAAACCAATGGAACTAAAACAGAAAAATTATGTACCTTCTTTCTTGTGTCCTATAAAAAAAAAAGACAGTAGGAAATCCAAGTGCAAGACAACTCTGTTTTCTTATGAGTTTTGTGTTTAAGGTAAAATCACTACGTTATTTCAAACTGACATCATGTAGTTTTCTAGGGACGGGTTATTACTTGATGGTTCCTGTTAGTGAACTTCTTATTCTTATAATGAACTATGTTCTTTTGCAATCCCTTAAGATTTTATTTCTTTTGCAACTATTTTGCAGTCTGGAAAGAACAGAGCAATCCGTGGAGAATTCCACAGCCGTTGGTGAAGAGAAGAAACCATATCTTGAGGTCTCTAGCTCAAAGGAGAACGTATGAGTTCGCGAAGCCATTATTTAGTCGATAATTTTTCTGAACTCGTTTCTCTGTTGTACCGATGAACATCGAACAAATAATTTTGAATGTAGATTGGTTACGTTAGTGATTGTTTAATTAAACGGTTAGACAATCTTTCAATACACTTGTTTCCGGTAATATTTTGACTGTTGAGTTGCTCGTATAATTACTGGAAAAGGGGGATTTGATTCACAATTTACATGAAAAAAAGAGAGGAAAATGTTGTTATGAACTTCATATGTTTTCCTTTTGTACAGATTCCATAAGGAAATAAACACAAACACGCCAGACTGTACATGAAAATATGTTTTTCTTCTTCCTTTTTCAGGTTATGCCTCAGGAAAAAAAATCAATGATCAATCTTCTTTGTTGCTAAATGAACAAAGAACAAAAAAAAAGTTCTGGATCCAAGCTTCTTCTTTAGATAGCCTCAAGTTAAAAGTGTTTGATCTTTCTCTTCATGAGTTCTTGTCTTCATGTTGGTGAGTCAGTGCTTGAAAGCAATGACGGTGTCGATAGTCATCATTAAGATATGATAAAAATCATGTCTTAATCAGCAAGTTGTGTATATTTATTTTACATGTTGATGTGTTTATGTATAAGTATATGAATGATATATTTATGAGTCACATAACATCATTTTGCATAATTTGTATGTTACCTTCATGTGCATAACCCAACTCTTATCATATAATCGGATTAAGGGTTTAAGGTTTAGTGTTTAATTTAGAGTTTAGTGTTTATGGTTTAGAGTTTAGGTTTATAATTTAGTATTTAAGGTTTAAGGCTCATTGCAAAGATTAATCGACTTGGTATCGATTTATGAGATAAATACAATATAATATTTTGATATTTATGATATTTGAACCCGAAACCTCAAAATAATACAACAATTTAAATAATTAGTTATTAAAAATATTATCATTATAAATATATTTTTAAAAAGGTTTTGGTTAAATTTGTTTTTTTTAATTTTAATAATCTTTTTTCTATAATTGATTTGTCTTGTTTTACTTTATATGGTACATGTTAGTAGTAGGGACTAGGAATGATCATTTTCTCTTAAATATGATTTGATGCCATTAATTTTGTTAATTAAGATACTAATGTAAGTTTAAATGAGTTTTTCTTTCTTAATTCTTTATAAAATCGATTACAAATATATTTTTTTAAATTATTAATATTTAAATTGAATCATATTTTTATTTTATTATATTTTTAAAATTTTATAGAATTTTTAATATATTTTTAAAATTTTATAATTATCAATAATGTAGTTTTAATAATGTAATTTTAAAAAATCTAAAATTATAATATAATATTTTTTCGAGATGCTCACGAGCTTTTCGAGTCGAATATCGAGTAGTTCGTTTCGGCTCGTTAAGAACTCAAGTCGAGCTCAAGTCGAGTCGAGCTCGAGTCGAATCCATTCGATCCGAGTATTTATCGAGCCTTGATCGAGTCGATCTCGAGTAGCTCGCAATCTGTCTCGTCTCATTTACAGCCCTAATGTTGATGCCTTAAGATGGTATAGAATGCTTAAGAAATTAGATTAAAAAAATTTGTTACATAAATATCCAGACTATAGTGGTGATTCAATATTTGCTTAATAAAGAAAATGGCTCCAAGGTGACCATCCGTTTACCAAAATCTTTTGGAAACTTGAATAGCAACCTAATGGGAATTGATATAACATGAAAAGAGTCATATTACAGCAATTTCAAAAATTGCGACAAAATTTAAAAGTATTAAGATCGAATCACCTTGGCATCTTTACCTTTTCTCAAATCACCTATCGAGCTTTTCCAGAAAAACGGCATGCCTTATCATTTACTATTGTCATCTTTACGATCATCTTTGTTGCTTGGAGTGTACTGACCAGTCGAGGATGGTGAATACCCTGGTGCACTAGGGGAGTACCCAGCACTTGGACTGCACAGAAGATTGGAAATATGAAACACCAAACTAGAGCAAACACTTTAAATTCAACATTCATCGGCTTACCTGTACTGTGGTGAACTTGGGCTGTAGTCTGGATTCCCTCCAGAATTATATGGGCTGGTTTCATTGAGAATAAAATAGATAACATGTTAGATGGCATCTAGAACAAATTTGCATTGGGTTCAGTATGAACGTACAAGTGGAAGCTTTAAGACACATTTCACAGATGACAACTTCCAAAACTAACCTAAATTATTCAATCACTTGGCAAAAGATGAGAAGTTACCTGCTAGGACTGAAGGATGGGCTTGAAGGGGAATCAGATGGAGATGTAGGTGAATAAGATGCTGATGTCGGGCTGCAATATAAAAATAAATATTTATGGCACCAAAAACAAAGTTACAATCGCATTACATATCATGAATATAAAGTACTTAAAACTGAGAAGGGAATAAGCTGAATAGCAGTGACACAATCCAAGAGTTATCAGAAAACAAACAGAAAAGTGACTGCTACCATGGCTTACCTATAATTTGGTGATGTTGGGCTGTAAGGACTGGAAGGAGACAACCTTGGACTGCTGGGTGAGTATGCCAGAGATGGACTGTACTTGGCTGATTGTGGATTGTAACTTGGAGAGGTAGGGCTATAGCTTGGTGATGTGGGACTATAACTTGGTGATGTGGGACTATAACTTGGTGAGGTTGGACTATAACCTGGTGAAGTGGGGCTATAAGCCGGAGAAGTGGGGCTATATGATGGAGATGTTGGGCTGTAGGAGGGTGAGGTTGGACTGTAGGAAGGAGATGTCGGGCTGTAGGAGGGTGAGGTTGGGCTGTAGGAAGGAGATGTCGGGCTGTAGGAAGGAGATGTTGGGCTGTATGATGGAGAAGTGGGGCTGTATGCAGGTGAACTAGGGCTGTATGCTGGTGAAGTAGGGCTGTAGCTAGGTGAAGTAGGGCTGTAACTTGGGGAGGTAGGGCTGTAGCTCGGGGAGGTTGGAGAATAAGAGGGACTTGTAGGAGAGTAGGTTGGACTTGTTGGGCTGTAACCTGGTGAACTAGGACTGTAGGTAGGTGATGTGGGGCTGTACCCAGGTGAGGTGGGGCTATACCCGGGGGAAGTAGGGCTGTAACCAGGAGAGGTAGGACTGTACCCAGGAGATGTTGGACTGCTGTAACCAGGGGATGATGTAGGAGAGAATGCCATCCCACCAACATAAGGTGAGAACTGAGCATCCGAAATGGGTGAGAGACGGAGATTCGGGCTCAGCAAGTAATTAGGAGACATCATGCCTTCATGATAAGGAGTTCCTGACACTGGAGAACGCGCAGGTGTAATGCCATATTCCAGACCTTCCATGTAACTGGGTAGCTGAAGTTCAATGGCATTCTTCAGCATCTCATCATTGAGATACAAGGCACACTCTCCTGTACCAATTGGTGCAAGCTGACCCAACATTATATTCTCTGTCACACCCCTCAAATAATCTGATTCAGCATAAACAGCAGCATCAAGGAGAATATCAACAGTCTCTTCAAATGAGCACCTCATCATAGGACCTGTATCATTCCGGTTGATGCCATGACGAGTGATGGCCATCAAGTGGCCACGATACGTCATTGTATCACAGAGGATAGCTAGATGTCGATAGTTCACGTACGACCCATCAAATGATATCACAACCCGCAATTCATCCAACAAGGACCGTCGAACTGCTTCAATTCCAAGAACTTCAATCACTTCAATCAAGTGATTGCTTGTTGTTCTCTTTGCATCAACATCCTCATGGCACATGACAGCCAAGAGATTGACACCTTCTGTATCCAACACCCATTCCTCCCCGGTCTTATAACCATCAGCCTCATCAAATTTGCTTGTTTTACCATGTTTAATGAACACTTTGTTGATGTCTGGGATACCTCTAAGGGCCATTTCTGTCAACATGTTGCTTTCAATCTTCTTCAAGAATACATCATCTTCAGCAGACTCATCAGTCAATTCACCCTTTGGGGCTTCATCATTCATGATTCGGATACGTAGGATCAACTTTTCTGCGTTGTCATCATTAAAAATGCAAGTCAAATCATCATCGAATTCCTGGTTGATCTTCTCAGCTATGTCAGCCATACTCAACTTCTTATCAATCATCATCTCACGATTCAACTCTATGCGCAGAAGCCAAGGGGATATCTTTTCTGGGGCAACCTCTTCATCAGGCATTTCATAATAGGACTTAACAAAGTCAATATCTTCCTCAATGAGAGTGCTCATTGGATCCGGATCGTACCATACTTCTGTAGCATGAGTAACACTCCGAAGAGTAGTATATTCTAAAGAACATTGGACATTCTTGGCCTTCTCCTTTGTCTTCCTAGCTTCAGGAGAGAGGTAGACTGAGAGAGAAGGTGTTTTGATTTTCTTAGCTACGTTAATAATTTCCCTCAACCGAGGGACACCAAGGGTAACATTCTTTGCACTAACACCAGCATAGTGGAAGGTGTTAAGAGTCATTTGAGTAGCAGGCTCACCAATTGATTGTGCAGCAACACAACCTATCATCTCACCAGCTGCTACCAGAGATTGCAAGAATCGCGACTCAATTTCACCAATAACCCACTCAAATGCTTCTTTTGTTAGTCTATATTCCTCCAACACCCTTTTACTGGCCAAAGTACTGCGAAGCAAAATGCCAAAAAAGAGGGTAGCATTTTTTTGGGCTTCGACACTCAGAGGATCTGTACCTGGAACAACCTTTAACCTTTCCTGGAGCTTATCAACAGAATCAACAATTTCCACAGGATGCAAATCTGACACCCTTCTAAAATCAACTTTAAAAGTCTTCTGTGCATTCCAGATAAGCCTCTTCAAGTTAACAGGCAAAGGCCAATTACTGTCACCAGTGACTGCGATTTCTGTTCCAAGTTGGTATCTATCAGCTTCAAGTTTATTAACTTCAGCATCAAACACGTCACCAAATTCTTGGATAGTTCTCAAATCTTCAATATGTTCTGGTAGCATATAAGAAGTTGGATTCCAGTTTTCATCATCTATTTTATATCTGAAGACCCTATCAAATTCGGATTTCTTCATCTTCAAAGAATCCAACTTCTGAGATTCTATCCATACAGCATCCATGCCATCTTCACCGTAGAGGAACTGAATAACATCCCCCAATGAGTTCCTCACAGTTCCATCATATTTAACCATAATATCCTCCATTGCCTTCACAAGTCGCCTCTGTATGTACCCAGTCTCAGAAGTCTTAACTGCAGTATCAATGAGACCTTCTCTACCACCCATGGCATGGAAAAAGAATTCTTGT